AAAAAAAAAAAGTATCCCGAGGCGGAATTATCGATAAGCGGAAGGGCGGGTACCAGATCTTGAGAACGGGTGTGAATTTGTCACCCAGATTACGCGCTAACTGACCCAGGATTCTGACGTGGCAAAGGCTCGCTTTACACACCTGCGGCAAGGCTATTGTTGCCTCGCGACAGTGGCTTTTCTGCCTCTCTCTCAACCATCATTCCTTTTCCTTTTTCTACTCATCACCACCCGATTTTCGCCCAAGACGCCAGCACGATGACGTCCCGACGCGACTTTCTGAGCCAGCCGGCTCCGGAAAACTACGTCGCCGGTCTGGGTCGAGGTGCCACCGGCTTCACCACCCGATCCGATCTTGGACCTGCCCGTGACGGCCCCAGCGAAGACCAGATCAAGGAGGCGCTCGCGAAGCGCGCCGCGCAGCTGGGCCTCGTCCCCGACGGAAAGAAGGGCAAGGAGAAGGAGGAAGAGGAGGACGACGAGCGGTACCAGGATCCCGACAACGAAGTAGGATTGTTCGCCGGCGGAGTCTACGACAAGGAGGACGAGGAGGCAGATAAGATCTGGGAATGGGTGGACGAGCGAATGGACCGGCGGAAACGGCAGCGGGAGGCGCGCGAGCAGGCCGAGCGGGAGGAGTACGAGAGGAACAACCCCAAGATCCAGCAGCAGTTTTCGGACCTGAAGCGCGCGCTGGCCACCGTCTCGGACGAGGACTGGGCCAACCTGCCCGAGGTGGGAGACCTGACCGGCAAGAACCGGCGGAGCAAGCAGGCGCTGCGGCAGCGATTCTACGCGGTGCCGGACAGCGTGCTTGCGGCGGCGAGGGACGCGGGAGAGATGGGCACGACGGTCGTCGACGATGGGGCGGCGACGAGCACGACGGACGCATCCGACGGCACGATGACCAATTTCGCCCAGATCGGTGCCGCCCGTGACAGGGTGCTGAAGTCGAGGCTGGAGCAGGCGTCTCAGACGGCCGGCGGCGAGTCCGTTATTGGAAGCTCGACCAGCATCGATGCGCAGGGATACATCACGAGCCTCAACAAGATGCAGGTCAACGAGTCACAGGCCCAGGTCGGCGACATCAACCGAGTGCGAGAACTACTTCAGTCTGTCGTCAAGACGAACCCGAACAATGCCCTGGGCTGGATCGCGGCGGCTCGACTGGAAGAGCTGGCAGGCAAGATTGTGGCGGCGCGGAAGACGATCGACCAGGGATGCACGCGGTGTCCCAAAAGCGAAGACGCTTGGTTAGAAAACATTCGACTGAACCACGACTCGCCAAACAGCAAGATCATTGCACGACGGGCCATCGAAGCCAACCCTAGATCTGTTCGGCTTTGGGTCGAGGCCATGAGACTGGAAAACATCCCCAGCCACAAGAAGAGAGTCATCCGGCAGGCGCTGGACCACATCCCAGAGTCGGAAGCGCTGTGGAAGGAGGCTGTGAATCTGGAGGACGATCCCGAAGACGCCAAGCTGATGCTGGCAAAGGCTACGGAGCTCATCCCGCTATCCGTAGACCTGTGGCTCGCCTTGGCACGACTAGAAACCCCCGAGAATGCGCAAAAGGTCCTGAACAAGGCTCGAAAGGCCGTTCCTACGTCCCACGAGATCTGGATTGCCGCTGCTCGCCTCCAGGAGCAGCTCGGTCAGGGACACAAGAGCGCTGTGATGAAGCGAGCCGTTCAGGTCTTGGCAAAGGAGTCAGCCATGCCCAAGCGCGAGGAATGGATTGCCGAGGCGGAGAAGTGCGAAGAAGAAGGCGCCATCATCACTTGCCAGAACATCATCCAGGAGACGCTGGGCTGGGGACTGGACGAAGACGATGACCGCAAGGACACGTGGGCGGAGGACGCCAGGGCAAGCATCAACCGAGGCAAATACGAAACCGCGAGAGCCATCTACGCCTACGCGCTGCGCGTCTTCGTCAACAGCCGGACCATGTGGATGGCTGCGGCGGACCTCGAGCGGAACCACGGAACGCGCGAGTCCCTGTGGCAGG